TGGACGGACACAAATTTAAGTTCTAAAATTAATTGAAAAATAATTTTTTTTCCGATATGCCCGTCGAAGACTTTTTACGAAGACGTTTTGGACAAGAAATGTACTTATCCGACTTGTTTTCATGTTCGATAACAATCTCGCATTAATAAGGTTCTCAGTGGGGTTAACCATTAGCCGTAAAATGGCGAAAAAATTTAGACTTTAGGGGTTAGTATAGACAATTTTTGAGCCGTTAGTGGTAAAAAATACTAAACATAAAATTTTTTCTCTTTACTTTAACGGAAAGAAGTTAACCACTACCCGCAAGCGGCTAAAAGACATCACCTGGGTGGAACGTTCAACGGTCATACCTTCACGTCTCCATGGTAACCATCACGGTTGATATAAATTTCACTTTTTGTAAGTAAATCAGTTCAGTGATGATGTCAATTTATATTATCCTTTTCTTTTACCTCTCTATATTTTTTATCCGTGATATGAAAACAGTTAATACCATTTTGCCTATCTTTTCAAAAAGTAAGATGAAAATTAAATTCCACAAGAAAGATAGCGGTTGCCTAGATATCTATAGGTTTCTACATTTGTTTCTTTTTTTAGACAAGAAGAATTCGTAAATGTCTTTCAAATTCTTCGCTAGCGACACTTACTTATCAAAGCTTTTTTCCTTTAAAATTAAACCTTATATGTGTAAGTAAATTTGATAAAAATATGCATAATTGATTGCTTTTTCTGAAGAGCGGGGAGACATCATTGTTTCATTCTAATTTATAGAAACTAAAGCTTTTTAACTTTTAACAGTGTATGAGCCAATAAATTGATGGATCAACAAGATTTATAACATAGCTAGTAAATTTGTTGGATCAATATCAGTATCTGGGCAACTGCCCACTTACCCCTCCCCTAACTCAAACAGTCAATTGACAACGAGTTAAGGTTAATGTTAGGTTAGGGGAGGAGTAGGTGGGCAGCTGCCCAGATACTGATATTGATCCAGTTTTTCTGGTCAAATTCAATAACGTGAGCGTGCTTCATATTCCTATTGTGCACGCTCATGACGTCAGCAAACAAATCCCTTTGAGAAAAAAAGAATTGAAAATGTTATAAAAAGATTATAATACTATTTTTCAAGAAGCTAGCGTCGCTCTCGGCTACGCCTCGAGCAACTCTTACGCAACTTTTGTGCTCTCCAAACTTCCCGCGTGCTTCATATCTCGATGAACGCACGCTGACGTGTGAACCAATTTGTTAAATTTAAAGAGCATTTTTGTAATTAGAATTATTTGCGCTCTAAGGAAGAGTTCTCTTTGATTCATTTAAAAAAGCTCTGAGAAGAGAGAGATGTCACTAACACTTAATTACTAATTTAAAATTTGGCAACTTTAGTTTGATGAAATTCGTATCTATCATAATTGTTGTTTTAAGGGCCTGAGAAGAGTTTAATTTTTCTTTTTACTTAAGAATATGCATGCAAAAACGTTAGCAAACTCAAAGGCTGACAACACGTCAGTTAATCCCAAATACTATGAAATCTTGATATTGCGTGCAAAAAGTGTAAATTTAGTGCAAAGAGTTGGAATTTAGTGCAAGAATTTGGAATTCTGTGCAAAATATTGAAATTGGTAGGAAAGTCGCCAGGCATAACCAAGCGAAATGGTGCACAGGTTAGGAAGAAGCAACAACGTTTTAATTCAGAGTTTGAAGAAAAATACTCAAGAACAAAAGCATCCAACAAAGCACAAACAACTGGCTTAAAGTCTTAGGCCTCCAAAAACGGCTTTGACGAAAGTATTGAAAAATACGAACCGGAGGCCATGAATAAAACTGATTCCCGAGAACTTCCACACAACAGTTCGTGTAAGAAAGACAGGGAAGATTACGAGCATCGTAGCCTTCAGGTGAAGACTACTACTATCGAACGAACGCTCTATTATTCGTGACGGAGATATAAAGATGAATGCAAGTTCTTGAGCGAGGAACTCGACTCATCCAGCAACAAGGCAAAGGCAAGCGGCCGAGCCAGTCAGCCATGGCACGGAAAAAACACGACTAAAGGAGGTACCAGTGTCAAATTTGTGCTCGTATATCATTAAATAGCATATATTTGTAAATTTTTCAAAGACCACAAACCTTGCACTCAACCTTCGAGTAAGTGCAACAATTATTAGGCCTTTCAAAAACTTATACGCGCTGATTTATGCCATAATAGCGCTCGAAATCATCTGATTACTTATACTCATCATGAAAGATATCTTGTAAATAATTAATCTTACCTGAAAGGTGATAAGAAGATTATAAACGAAGCCACTAAAATGAACCAATTATTTTCCATGTCATAGGCTATTGGGACTGAAAAAAAGGGAGTCTTTTTTAACGAGAGACCCTCTTACTCCTATTCATTGGCCCCTAAACAGCAGACGCTTCTAGTTTATATTTAGGCTATCATCTACATGCAAATTAATCGATGGCTGTGTCTACAAAGAAGAGTGGCATTTTTTTTTTCTGTTATCACTTTGTGTAAACCTCGTTAACGACAACAGACCTAAGTGGGGCTTTGGTTTTACCAAGTCGCCGCGAACAAGATAGTGATAATTACTAACGTCCAAAGGGTTAAATTCCCTTTGGAGGTTTCTTTACCAAACACGTTTGAGCTTCTCTTAATCAATAGGCAGAACGCCTACTGTTTTGCAAATTTTAAGTGCAGAGGTAAGACAATTAAAGATTTGAAATATAAGCAGCGAAGCGTAAATAGTTGGTTTTCAGTGGACGATATAACCAACGCCTTTCTTTTCAGTGGATTCTTCTGCCTTTTCCCATTTGTTCGTCAGGAGCGGAGCAATGAAACTGACAAAGTGGTCTTAAATTTTGTAAATGCTATAACGGGATGTTGTGCATTCTAATTGGCGAAAATGTGAGCAGATCTTTAATTCTCAACAATATGCGCGCCAAAGTTGAATTCGGCACTCCTGAAAAGGCGAGGGTAAAATTTCCGCACAGCCTTATTCTACATTTTGCATTCAGTTCTTGGATAGAAAAAATAATGACAAAAACAATATATTGCCATTGGGAAAACAGATTTGTGTTGGCTGTGCGGAAATTTTACCAAGGCGAGTTTTCACGAAGCTCAGTTGGCCAGTTTTGGTGCATTCTTCTTTATGTCTGAGGCTCTTCTGAGCGAGTCTGCCTTCAAATTTGCCATTGTATCGGTTATGGAAAATCAGTAATGTCGCCGCAACATGGGGTCAAATTAATTTCATCCGCGAGAGTCATTGTTTTAACTTTGGTCAAGCAGTGTGGTTCTGAAATCAGGACATTCTAATACTGATAAAAAGTAAGAAAGCGCACCCCTTCGAATAGGCCGTGCAATAGGAATGCGACGCCACGACAAGTCTAAAAATTTATCAAGAGTCGTGTTGGTCTTTCTGGGAAGAAATGCATATATGCTTCGCCCTTAGGAAATGCACGAAGAAAGCATCCAAGTCGTCTTTAATCGGCTATCACCTGTTGTTTTCGTTAAAATTACAACAAATATTTGACGTTGCTCACCTGTGGCAAGTGATAATTTGACGAAGATATGTAAACTTAGTGAAGAACTCCTTAGTAATTGAAAACATCAAATTGAGTGCGAGTTGTGATGCAATAACTTAGGAAGAGAATTTTCTTGTATTTCCTTGGCTCCCGAAGTATTCTGCGATCAAATCTCGAATTGGTGGCAATTGACGCATCAGCAACTCGCAAAAAAATTATGATGTTTTTAATTATCAAACAGTTCTTTTCACAGGTTTACATAAACATAAACTACAGGTTGTCACTCTCTTCAGGTGAGTAATGTCAAATATTTGCCGTAACTTCAACGACAAATGCAATATGAACAAACTCATGGTGACAACTGTAAACCTACGCTAGGGAAACCCATATCTTTGGCAGAATTTTGTGCCAACCGGTTTCCACAGTTGACAATCGGGGAGCAAAAGATGAACCTTGATGACAGTCTCGTAGGGGTTAAAACCATATTAAAACCCAATTCATAACTTTGCGAGTCACAATTTTCTCATCTTTCGATGAAAAGATTGATGACACGGTGTCATTTTCAGTTTACTGCAGTTGAGAAAATTTATGTGAACGGAAAAATCATACTTTTTGATTGGCGCGCCTTCCAAACGTTAACACGTTTAGAAGAATAAGACTTTTGAACTGAAATAAACTAACCCTAAAATTAAATTATAAAAAAGTATACTAACCTTACCTTAAAACTATCGTTTAACCCTCCAAAACGAGAACAATTAAGAATTTCTTTGTCGCCATTACAATCTAAGTCTCTCAGAAATAAACTATCTGAGGGCGGGATAATTGGAATTTGTCTTGCAATTGTTTTTCATATTTCATTGATTCAAAGTGTAATCAATTCAATTTCTTCACGACTTGATCTGAAACCGTCACCAACCGTTCAGTTTGATAGCAACTAAATTATCACGCACCTAGGACCGAACGGTTCCTTGTTTCTTTCGAAACTCGAGGAGATTTTAAAGGATTGCTTTTCAGCAACGAGTTTCCTAGCAATTAGTATTCACCGGAAACCTTACTTCACGCACCCTTGCGGTTTTCTTGGAGTGTTTGTACGAGAGTTATCTCAAAACATACTGGTTGTTTATATTTTACAACGCACAGACGGGTGTTTAGGTTTAATAATGAACAGACTTGTTAAACTACATAAGCTTCATAGTGAAGTTTTCATGATAACAGTTAAAAAATGTTGGGCGTTACGATAAGGGAACTGGACTTGAGAACGACAGGAATGTGCTCAAACTGCGGCCAAGTGTAAGATCTAGCTTGACTCTCACGGCCCTCTCCTCCACAAGGGGTCTAAGTGGGAAGGAATGAGTTCTGGGTTGTAGACAAAACCTGGGGAATGGGGTGGGGGAAGGGAGGTCACTTGCAACGGACTACTATCCCACAATTCACTTGTAGATAACTACAGCAGTAATAAGATATCGACACCGTCATGAAGGTAACCGAGTTTAAGACAAGAACTAAAAAACGACGACTTTGAAAATTCAGGGTTGGTGATGGCGTTCTCAACATCAGTCAGCCAGTCAGTCACCCATAACCAACAGGCAGGCTCTATCAAGACCACCTTCACAGTTAATATAAAGGAGCAGGTTAGAACAAAGGAAAAACACTTTTGTGATGTTGTATTTCCAAGCACATCAACAAATCAGCATACGAGTTAAAAACATGATCATACGACACATCGTAACATGCTTCAGGAACATATGAACCATCCGCTTGCTTAGGTTTCGCTACTTCTTGCTGAGCTTCAGTAGATGTCAGTTATAAAAACTTCACGGGGGTGGCCATTAAATTATAAAGAAAACGTCTGCAAAAGAAACTAGAAGATAGCGCTTTCTAAAGAAAAACGTAACTCACTTGTAGAAAGTCAATAGCACTTTCCGAACTCTAGCTTCGTTAATCTGCTACTTCGCCGATTGAACTGCAAGAATTTTTTTTTTTAAAAAAGCCATCGATCGCATTCCTATACAAAATTGCATCTGTCGAAGTTCAACTTCTCAGCCTTGAACTTTTCTCTTTCTTGAAAGTGTTGTATTATTCTCTTCAAACTTAAGCAAACAAATGTGTTCCTGAATGCACATCGATCAGATGTAAAACTAAAACCCGCTACAACTCGATATTTCTCATTTTTCGGCGTCAAAAGCCAGTTAAATGTATTACGTGGAAAATCTCATTGGCTTATTCGAGTATTTACCTTAATGAATGTTCGGATAGGCTGTTGTAGTTTGGTTTTTGGCTCTAAGAAGCTTGATCGAAAAGCACTCTAAAACAAGAGTTGTAAAACAAAAAGACTTCATATTATCAAAGGGACAGGGTGTTGAACTGTCGGTTCAGCTTTAAACGGCAGTATGACGTCATCAACTAATGGAACTCCTTCCTATGATACATTTCTGGAGCGTAGAATGACGTCACCACCACTCGGTTAGCAAACTTGCGGCCGGCCAGGGCCTGGGCAGCGCTCTTAGAGTCGTCTGATGACCCGAATTCCACAAATATCTGAAAGAGAATAAACTCAGTCAGTATTATTTGAGGCAGGAAGTTACCAATATTAACCCTTCCACACCTACAGCTGTAGGAGAGACTAAAAATAACTACCTCTTCAATCTTACACTTTACATTACTTTTGCTTGGTTATTCTCTTTCTCTCATGATCTAACGGACGTTTCTACCTTACCCCACCAACGCAAAAGGGGACCACTCATGTAAGATTTAGCGTTCCCGGCCTTTCTTCAAATGAAATGTCCGTCAGTTACAAATTTCTAACGGGCGCTTTGCAGGATTGAACTCTTGGGTGCTGGCAGGAACGGGAGGAGAGTGTGAAGCAACTTAGCCATGAAAAAAAAATATGTATATCCCCTAACAAAAACATGGACCCTTCATCCCCTAAAAGCGACTGGCTTCCACTTTCTCTTTACAGTATCACTGAATCAAATGTTGATCCTTGCGAATAAAGGAAACGATCACCAATTCAACAAACTCCTGATTGTCAAACAAATTCTCCTTGTCAGTCCCATAGGAAATATAAAGAGGACAGAGAAGAGAATATAAATATTACAGTTAAGGTTAAGGAGAAGGGGAAAAAAAGCCCACAGACCATTACGCAGAAAAGCTGAGAAAACGTCATTTGATAACAGGACGAAGGTGACGTACATTAAGACCATCTCGGGTTGTAACCATTACGGATAAACTGGCCAATCGAAAAGGTACGTCATGCTACAAGTAATTACCTTCCCACAGCCAGGTGGTTCAAAACCTTCCACAGGTCTTGGTATTTCAAGGCTGACGACTGTGCCATACTTTGAACATTCTGCGCGAACATCTTCGTAAATTTCTGGATGATAAAACAAAAGAGAGATCATTTAACCATTTCTGCCAACGAAAAATCTTTCATCGGTAAGCATTATGGAATTTGAACATGTAAAAAAATCTGCCAGGTTTTTCATTCTCTTTTTGAACTACACAGAGCTTTCTACCGCACAGAACAGAATCAATGGTATTAAATTGAACATGGGACCCCTCCTTACTGTCACAGTAGATATCCTTTGATGGAAATTAATTACCAAGTTAAAAAATTTACCACCTGACCCAGAACACCGTTAAGACTCAGTGGCGCAGCGGCACAGCATCGCAGCACCGAATCCGAAGCTCTGAGATTCGATTCCTCGTGGGTGCTCAGAACTTTTTTTTCCGCGCTTGTGACGAGATGAAAATATAATTCTCTGCCCCCTGATAGTTACTATGAGAATTTGACGTTCTATCAACATAACTTTGATAAGGGATCTTCCTCTTTTAACATTTTTGTTACCTTCATATTCCTCGTCATCCATGAGTTCTTCTATGTCCAACATGTTCATTAGACACAGAACTTCTGTAGCACTGTTGTGTAGATTGGCTGACAGGTCAAGACCAGGTATTTGCATCTGGGCTGGAATCATGTTTATTGCATCAGGCTGGAGGATAAAAAAAGGTAAAAAAAAAAAATTGGACTATTTGATTCAAAGTGTTTACATTGATTCAGTTGATTAATCCATCTGTCTGTCGGTCAGCTAGTTCTGCACTCCTACTCTATCTCCCTCCTTACATTATTCATGTTGGTCTTGGCTCCCACACTTGCTCTCTGAACAATTAACTTCTTCTCTCCGAGCTGCATGCCATTGAGTCCAGTGATAGCCTGCATTGAAAGAAACAGTTCATGAATTTTAAACGTACAACAAAACAGTTCAGAGTCGACAAAGTTGGGCACTGTCATCATTTCTCTACCATATCCAAAGTATCAGTCAATGTACAGTACTACAAGCCACTTACCACATCTGTAATGTTCAGATCCACATATTCACAGAAAGCATAACCCTTTGAGAGGCCTGTTGCACTGTCTTTCACAAGATTAAAGGCTTTGAGCTCACCAAATGATGCCAACAGCTCCTTAACCTGCAGAAAGAAGGGAGATGGTCGCAACTTTGGTTAAAAAAATAAAATAAAAATGTTTTAACTAAACCACATAGTAGTGGATATCAAGGCAGTCAGACCAGTAGAAGCTAAAACTGTGTACATTGTGTTTATTCATTTGTTTTTTCATTTTTTTTTTGAGGGGCGGGAAATCTGTTTGCTTCTTACATGGAGCACTGTCTGGTCAGACTACCTTGGATCATGACAACTTCTAAGACATCATACACACCCAAATGTAACACCATACTTCAAGCTTTTGTTTGAAACTCATATCAAGATGCACAAGAAGCAAGGTGCTAAATTGTGGTGTAACAAGATGAAATTTCAGTCAATAAGACAGCAACAAAGTTGAAAATGGCTTTGATTTGACAGGGAAGCTTTGGAATTGAAACTTTGGATGCTGCATATGTTGCTATGCTACACAAATACTCCATACACATTATATTGTGCACTTTCTTGGCACTTCAACATCACCATTAAATTTGAGTCACATCAGAACCGAACAGTTCAAGAGAACATGGATAAAATTTGACACAATTGGAACACTTGTGGAAAATGCCAGTGCTTCAATGCATATCAAATCATTCTAAATTGCATGTGCTCTGCAACAAAGAACAACCCTTCAACTTCAAAGCCACTTTAAGGTAGACAGTCTTAAGACACCTGTATCAGCTTTTTCTGTCACCAAATTTTAATATCAAATGATAAAAAAACCAAATTCTTTCAATTTGTTTCATGCTCCACAGTTTATAGCTGTAGGTGTCTCATTCCCGCCTAAGTGATTTTAAAGACACATCCGCAGTGCATACATCACTCTCCATCAATCCCTCCTTCCACACAATTGATGCAGAAGAACTTGCCTTTAGCCAGTTTTGATGACCAATTTAGGCCCCCCTAAGCTAGGGATCAAATGAGGGGGAAATAAAAGCGTAAAATGTCAGTGTCTCTTCATTTAAAACTGATTTAAATTCAAAAACCACCTACTCCTGGGGAATTAAAGTGAAAGCTACACCAGGGAGCTGACTTTGGATATTGAAAAACTGAAGCTCTTCCAAGTTCTTAACAGAGGAAGAAGCTTCTGACATTGATCACACAAAGAAGTGCAACCCATCATCAGAAGCCACAGTATCATTTCCTGACTCACAAGTACTTGGAGAGAGCCACAGAAATATAGTACACCTTTTAAACAACTTGAATTCCTGAGACCTACAACTAAGTGCGGTATGCTAAGAAAGGGATGTACATGTATTTACAACATCTACAATGAAGGTTGTCGTTGGAACACAACTTTGGTTCTACTCTAACATGACCACTACTCTTGAGATGACAGATGATAGTGTAGGAAGACATATGCCTCTCTCATTCCACTTATTAACTTGTAATTTAAATTCTCTTGTAGCCTAAAAGCATTGTTTTGATCAGTCATTATTCATGTCTGTTACCAGATCTGATCTTAGATTTATTCTGCTGCAAATTAAACAAAGACTGGTCATAATTGCTATTCTGATTGAAAATCTATTCATGTCTTGTCTACATGAACACAGCATCTAAAAAAAGAAATTGCTGAAAAAGAAGTGTGTTGCGAGTGGAGTCTTTCATAAGCCGAAGATGGTTCACAATTGTTGATCTAAAAAAAAAATAGAAAGGCTGAAACACAATTGCTGAAAAAACAAAAGTAGAATTTTGGCATTAGTTTGTTGCTATGATATTCCTGCCAATGAGAGAAATTTTCTTGTCTTTAGAAGTTAATTTGCTTCCTTTTTGGAGCTGCCAAATATTCTACCAAAGTTTTTTTTTCTTTTTCATTCTTGCAGAATCCTGCATTCTGAGGGAAGAGAGTTGACACATTTAAGCCATTGCAGTGTGGCATCAAATGTATCAAGATGACACGGCTGCACGGTAAAAATTTTTCTAATGGATCCCAATCAAATTTTTTGCACTTCAGCTGAGTCTAATTGACAGAGAACCTTCACAAGATTTTGTAACCTTTATTCAGTTATAATGCCTATCATTTTTCAACAATTTTGTCAACACACTTCCACTCCCTTGCAACCTAGTTCCTATGCATCCCATACATCTTACCTGATCTTCATTAAGGTAGTTTGGCAAACCTCCAATGAAAATCTTGTGTGGAGAGTCAGGCACAACAGTTGAAACAACACCTGGCACATGAATTGTGGCTGTTTCTGTAGAATTAAAAATTGGGTGTCAGCATCTGGAAATGCTGTACTTGCTTGTAGAAACAGAGAATATTAACCATTAAAATATGAGCAGAAGATGAACGTCCTGAATTGCACATACAAGTATGCCTACAAAAAATTGGAACTATAACAAGTATGATAGCTTTACTACAACCACTTAGTACCTTACTAATTACAAGTATGCTTCAAACTCTCTGGATGAGTGATCTTCTTAATGGCTGGTTTCATGTATAGAAAGCTGCCAAAAGCATGCTCTTCATCAGTGAAGCAAGCAACAATTGGCTGCTCTCGCTAGCTTGCTAGACATGTGCAAGTACATTTAAACACACACACCACAAACCAGCATTAAGAAAACAATGCTTTCTCTTGTGCTTTAGCATGTCTTTAACCACTCTTGTGCTAGCCCCTTTGTTGTGTCTGCATTATAAGTTTAAGTAATTAAAAGGTCAAACATAGGAGAAAACTTGATTAAAGAAAATAATAAGACTTGAACTGTACAGACACAGACATGCAAATTAAAAAAATAAATAAACATATGACCACAGTACCTGACATTCCTGGAATAGGTTGGTAATCCTTAGGCCTTCTAATTTTCAATGATTGGCCCTAAAATATAACAATCAAACAAAATGTCAAATATACTAAAATATTATTGATTCTGTAAACTACAGGTACAGTGTAGCAAGATAGTCTTTCTTAATAAATGAAACTCTTTTTTTCTTTGAATAAGCCCCTGGTGTTTATTGAAAGAAGGGCACTCAATTGAGGGGGCGCTCATTAAGAAACTATTAACCTGTACTGATTCCACTGTAATTGAAGCTAAAAAAATGTAAATGGCGTGCTGATAAAAAAGGAAAGTGAGGGAAGAAGGGGGGGTGCTTATTTGAGAGGAGTGCTTGTTTGATATTATGGCCTAAGAGATGGGCACTTATTTGAGGAAATAGAGTGATTTTTATCTTCCCTTTAAAGTAACCAATAAATTAATAGTTACAGTAGTCAAATTCTTTCCACTTGTGTTCATTGACATTAGATTTGCTGAGACCAAACTACAACACTTTCTGAACTGTACCTCTAAAATAATTCCATCAAAAGCCATAGCTTGAGTGGTCTCTTCAACTGAACGAAGCTGGTAAGTTTGGGAGAACAACAAATGAGTTAACACTGCAGAATATATTGATTGCTTTAAATTAAATACACACACCATGCAAGTGTATTCTACATTCAAAACATAACAAGATCTTATTAAAACCACCTCCACCAGCAACAACAAAGACAGGATTGACAAAAAGATGGCAACAATACAGGTGTATGTAGCAAGAATTTGATGAAAGATGGCCAGCAATGCTAGCCTTTTCCTCTGCTATTTTTCCTTTGTTATCACTTTTGGCTGATGACAACTTCAATTTCAAACCATTAATACATGTATATGTGGTCCCAATCATATAAAATACACAAATGCCAGCAAACAAACGAATACCTGGAAAAAGAAACAAGACCATAACAATGTACCTCAATAAAGGCAAAATTTTGCTCCAAGTTGATCTGTGCAGCAATGACAGGGTTTCCTGGTGCTGTGTTTAACTTGGCCTCTTGCATTTTGGCATTGAAGAATTCTATCATCAGGTTCTATGTTTGAAGAAGGAATACAGGGTATCAGGGTATTGGAGATAAAAATACATGACAATGTTTACTTCAACTGCCACATGTCAGTACTTTCAAAGCTCTCAAAATGGAAAATCAGGTTGGAGAAGAGAATTATCTGTTAACAATTTCTATTTTTCAACACTTGTATAAATATTGTATACAGCCACCCCAAGTCAGAGTTCATTCATATTTCCAAATTGGGTCATTGTAACAAATTCCAAATAAAAATCAAATAAGCAAAGGGGAAAAACAAAAAAATTGATAAAAAGGAAAATTGGAAAGAAAAGAGGAAACTATAGTACATGTGGGCAGAGTGGAATGTCTGAGACCACTTAAATACTCCTACTGTTTCCCACTCATAAAAAAAAAGTTTACTAGTACCTTTAGCTAAATGTTTCAAGTTTATTTTATTATCAATAAATTATTGCTAAATTGCTTGTATGTGACCAATAAAAAATCAATAAATACAAAAAATGAAGCCATAAAACACAACTGCCACACCTTCACTCTACATGTACAAGTAATTAAATAGAATTTTAACTTAAACCCTTTACATGTGTAACTTCCATGAATGATCAAGACAGAATTTCTCCTTACAACATCAATACAATATCAGTGGGTAAGAGATGAGAATAGAGAAAAGTATCAATTAGGGGATTATTAGTTGATCCAATACAAAATTCTTCAAACCAATATCATAAGAGTTGTAGAACAGACAGTAAGGAGAATTAGGTGAATGATCTTAGGAGTGAAAGGGTTCCACATCTAATGAAACTACAGCTATAATTATGCAGAACACACCTCTGTTATACCAAAAGGAATGTTTCCAACATATAATCTACGAGCCTGTCTTGTCATCTGACTTCCTTGTGGCAAACTGCTTACGGTGCCCCCTGGGACTGGACCACCTGCATTGACTGGTATCTGACCAGCAGCTATTTTGATTGACAACAAATAAACAAGAGCTTTTAAAAGATAACCTAAACAATCCCAAACACTGAAAGTACTATAAGCCATGAATACGGATAAGCTTCACCATGAGTTTGGTGACTCAAATTTTGGAAAACAATTCTTTGAAGAGAAATAAACAAAAATTACAAGTCAAGTCTGGAGAAAGTTGCTTTTTTTTGGTTGCTTCATTGAACATACATGCACGTTCAGTGACTAACATTGAAAACAGAGAACGCTTTGAATCCTTATTGATAATTGTAGCTGTAGTAGTATGGACAACATGTCTACAGCACCAACCTGGACTTATATTTGATCTTATTCTAGTATTGTTCAACCAGTATTTTTTAAATTCCTGTCAGATTCACAAAAGAGTTCTACATAAAACAACACCTAATTTTTAGCAGAGCTAATATATATTGTTCGTTGGATCTAATGCAATAATGTAAAAATCAATAATAATTGTTCACTTGAAATGTAACTTTACCTCTCATAGCCTTGTACTGTGCAGGTGTCAAATGCTCATATCCAATTGGAGGCCTGTCCCATAAGCTTTCCCTTCAAAAGAAAATATACGTGTAAGGTACATTACACCAGGAACAAAATCAGAAAGAGTAAACAACAAACTATACAGCCTTAGACATGAATGAAAATCAATATGGAACTTATGTGACAACAGTAACACTTGGTATACCTGTAACACTAGAAAATTTAACTCTTTGATTCTTACCTCTTTCTCCTTCTCCGTGGTGGTGAGGGGGACCTAAAAAGAAAAATTAAAAGCATATAAATTCTGTTAACCCTTTAACTCCCATGAGTGACCAAGACAGAATTTCTCCTTACAATATTAATACAATATCAACCAAGTAAGTGATGAGAATAAAGAAAAATAATTATCAATTTGAGGATAATTAGTTAATCCAATCCCAAATTCTCTAAACTAACATTACAAGAATTGTATGGTTTAACAGTAAGGAGAATTAAAAATTTGATCTGGGAGTTAAAGGGTTAAGGATAAATTTTGTCAAAAAATAAACAAATTTATCATTCAACTTTCATACACTGTATGAATTCCAATTTTCTGATTGGCTGATTAGTACCACATGATACTTGGTTGTGACAAAACAAACTCCTTGATGTCATTATTGTGGTGTAATAGCCTTGGTGTAAATTCAACACACCACTGTCATTACACCATGGCTTTGGCTGACTCAAAGTTCGACAATTTGTCAGATGCAGAGATTAATTCTCTTAATGATGATGGAATTCCTAAAAACACCAAGAAAGCAACTGCTTAGGGAATATCTGTTTTGAAAGGTAAGATTGTGAATTTTACATTTTTCATTCAAGCTAGTTGAAGTGTTTTTGCATTTTGTATAGTGGTTTCAAAGAAGTGTTTCTTTGTGCAGTGTATTCAATTTCAATTTAAAAATGTTAATGCACTCATTGCTCATGAATTATTGGGATTTACCTGTACTTGTTCACAAACAATGAACTCTTCCAGGTAAATCCTGATAATTCACTTGCTGAGTGCCTTAAGCTGTAAGTACCCTGTGAGTATCCATCACCTCATGTGCAAACTACAATAGAACTCCTGTCAAACCTCATGAAGCAGTGGGTTCGCATTTTTTATGAAAATTCAAAAGCAAATGGCTTCTTCACAATTATAAAAGATGGACATCAAATTATTTAAAATCTAAGTACAAGTATATCCTTAAAAAAGAGTATATGACATCACCTGTTTCCCCCTCGATATCTGTCCCTTCCACCACCAAAGTTTCTTCTGTCTCTGTTAGGACTTCTTGATCTTGACCTGGACCTGCGCCGTCGATCTCTGCCTCTATCACCTCTATCTCTTGAGCGGTCACCTAGAAAATAATAAAAGTATAAAAGGTACAATTAAAATAGACAGAATTCCATGATTCCAAAAAGTACTCATTAGCATAGTGGAAGATTATAACAACTTCTGACTGATACAGGGTTGTCAAAAAGATTTGATTAACCATACTTTGATACTGAGTAGGTGACACATATCAGTTCCACTTCCATCAATGTTATGTTTACATGCTGAAAATTGCACAACAAGTATAGACAACAACATAAGGATGGATACAGGAACACAAGACATAAATTGCCACTAAAATACAAAACTTCTACTTCACTATTTCATCATGCTATTCATTACTCTTCTTGGTTACCACTGCTTAGCTATGATATAAAATTCCTCACTGAGACATTGTAAAGAGTGTAGCACATGAGTATACCACATCAATTATTTGTTCTCCTTCCGAACGTGTACGGTTATATACGTATGTAAATGTATGTATGATTCCTAAATCCTTGATGTATGCATCATTAAAATACCTGTAGCTGGAATTCTGAATGTATAAGAAATAAAAATAATTCTTCAAATTCTGACTCATCTACAAATGTACCACTCCTCTGTGTGTTACTTAAGTTAAAAGTGGTCCTGAAATCATCTACTCATCATCTCATCAGTGTAAACGAAGAAACACAATTAAATAATTTGACAGTTTCAACTTATACTAGGAAAATCGAAATATAAAACAAATACAAGAGTAAAGAAGAGTTTAAGGTGATCAGATGATCTGATAATTCAATTTTAACATGACTTAAAACTACATGAAAGCGAGCTCATACACAAAACGCTTATAACTGCATCATTAAAATGAATATATAGCAACGTTAAACGATCGTTCACCTCTAGGACTTGTTACGTTATTCAGTCTTCTATGGATTTTCAGTGAAACTACTCAATCAGATCTACTTCACGTTAACCATTTTAACACGCCGAACTTAACAAAAATTTTACCAAAAATTTGTAGGAAGGTGATCGAGACAACAAATCAAACTGTAAGGTCTGTATGGATTTCTCAGTTCGATCTTCGCTGCATTTGTTAAAAAATGGTCCCTTACCGTAATCTTCTCGGCCATCGCGGTCATTGTCGTATTCCTTGCGAAATCCACTTATTTTAGCACCAACGTCCTCATCCAAATTGAACCCAGCGCCGTCTACTGCTGCCATATTTGTCTGAAAACTTAACCACTTTCTCTACTAACGCTAAACAAGCATGGACGACAGTTCTCTAAGTCGCGAGGAACTGCAAGATTCATGGGATAAAATCTTCATCAAAACGAGGCTGGAAAAAATTAACGGCAGAGAGGAACTGGGAACAAGATTGCGGTTTTGGCGAGTGGAAAAACCTAGAGATCTAAATGTACCCCGGTCTCGATTCAAATGATACTGCTTTAATCCTTAAGCCAACGCTTCTCTTACCCTTAACCATACCTCTTGCTCTCTGTCCTTGTTTCCACATGCATGAGAACGTGAAGGTTAATACCATGCGAAACATAGTTCTCTGTGTTTTCTTGACATAATGGACATCAGGTTTACTTGACCTTTTGTTTACTTTGATACAAGTGATAATAGAATAAAAAAAAAAAATTAAAAAAAATCAGGAAACGGTTAAAAACATCAACAACCAAAGATAATGTACCTGTAGCTGATACAGAGTATTGTTTCAGTTAGATTCCGAGTGCGCTAGAGCCACTATACGATCCTAGAGTCTAGGATCATTTAGACATTGTTAACGTGACCCAAGCCATACGCTATCGTATATTTCTATGCTCATTAAAGCTTTGTAAGTTAAATTCAATTATAAGGGAAAGCGACCATTCCTTTATTAACAGAGGATGATTAGTTGTTCCTTACATGAAAGACGATTCACCTCTGTGTCGAAAGGGTGATGTCAGCGAGCTGTACAGGATTATCAGTGGGGTAAATCCTGTTAGATGGTAGGCTACTGAAGCATGTTGTTGCATTCATATTCTCTCTGAAGTGTTGGTTAAAGAGAGAGATATACAAGCGCGTTTACGGCAGAATTAGACAAGACCATTATGTTACAAATGGCAACGGGAACTTTACCAATGTCGCAGGATGCTACGTACATCATAGCGTAGTCAATTTGATTCGTGCCCCAGCATATTGCAAATGTTACACTTACAGCCACGACCATCAAGGTGATTCGTTTTCGCCCCTTAATGACACCCTGTGGAGCGAGAATGGAGGGCAAGATCGTAAACTTTTGTTTAAGAAATAAATCGGGAAAGAGCTCAATCAGTCTGTTCTCGCTAAGGAAAACGCGTAACCGTTTCTTATTGCAGAGTAAACAGACCAAACAAGAAAATTGAATTATTTGTCTATTTATCTGCTCATATCGAGTCAATAGAAACATGATATCAGAATGGAGTAAAGTCGAGATAAAAAAAGGTAAGAGCCTTACTGGTAATCCTCATTCAGGCTTTCTTGTTAAGGTAATCACCGCATGGGAGCATCCGGAGTAACTACCTTTAGTCATTTATACATTTATTTTATTCGTTCATCTGAACACCACAAACTCACCATTTTTACAGTCAAGTGTAAACATTTTGTCATTTACTCCCCTTCTCATCAATGACATCGCATTACACAAAATGACGCAACAGAACTTACTTATGAGATGTGGGAAAGAAATTTCTTGCCAAACTTCGACACGAACATGCAGCTCTTCCTTTTGTTGGAAGGTGAGTCGGTGATCTGTGTCGCGTTTCAGCCATAATGTATAGATGACTCTGGAGTATAACCCAACCATAACTGACAACGTAATGAGGGCCAGTGCCACCCACGCCAATAGTTAATATTTGGGCATTCATTGTTCCAGCCAGATGTCCACGCATGAGGTTTTCCCTTCAATGAAGCTCGTAACAAGGAGCAGAAGTAAAATGAGAATCAGTGAGAAGGTCCAAATACTTGGAATCATGAGCTGCGCAAAGGAGGTTAAAAAATTGTGACTTGACTGTCTTGGCTGTTTTCCAAAATATTTCTGGATTTTCTGTGATCCGAGAAGGCCAGTAAAAATCAACTAACGACGCTACCTTCTTAGTATTCAATTTCGCGTTTTTTGGTGACTGTTAAAAATCGCGAAATGAAGGAGGCTCCATAAGGTTTAAGACCACGCGAGATCTGGATACGAACATAGCGCAGCTGCGCACCTGCCCCTCCTTTAATCCAACAAAAGTCAACTGGGTTACAAGTTAGGGTTAATGTTGAGTTAGGAGAGGGGTAGGTGGGCAGTAGATCCGATACTGACATTGATCCACAACCTCTTGATCAATTGAAATGATGATTACTGAGATTATACCTTCAGTTTACGCTCGCTAAATTTCCCTTTGTTATCAAATGAAGAAAGAGTTGCATAATGCCTCTCAATGGAGATAATAACCAAAGTTACAATCGAGGATATGGCTCCCATCCATGCAACATTGCAGTCGGTAAGAAATTGGTATAAACCTGAGCCAATAAATCCGTCAGGGTGGGAGCTCGGAGCAATAAATGCAGCGTACATGAAGTCTGCAACAGCTAAGTTAACCAGTAAATAACGGATGGGGTTCCTGCGGATTAAAAAAAATAACTGAATCCCACCTCTCGGCTCGTCATAACTTCCTTCAAAGTTTAAAGAGCGACGAAAGATATAAGGAAATTTTCATTTTGTTTTTGTTCAGTGGTTCTAACTTTTTACAAATGCCAAACTAAAAAGTAGCGAAGTCTAAGAGAGGCCAACAAAGTGAGCAAGACAGTCCGAATATCTACAAAGGTACACACGATCTGAACCACTAAATTGACCAATTAAAAAAATTAGACGGTGATTTTCAGTCGATTCGCAATCCACTGTATTTTTCAACCCCACAAATGGCATCGGCCTTTTTCATAATCCACAATGCGTGGGTTTGCAAATTCGTCTTTCCAAGAAATTTAATAAGGTTTGAGCTAAGTACCGTTGACAAATTTCCTGTGCTATTTAATAAGGGAAAATAGTTTTCTTCTGTTTAAAACTCGCTTTTAAATAAGGCTGGATTAGAATTTCTGTTCTAACTCGATCCGTCTAAAACCAACCAGTTATGACCCAATGGTCATAACTTATGATCTACGTGCTGCAGTATGACCCGAAGAAATAAAACAAGATATTTCAGTTGCTTCCTCTTAGACAGCAGCCTCAAGGAACTTAATCAAAAGCAACTCATTGATTGACCTATGGTTTATTTTGTCAATCATCCAAAACTTAATGACAAATATTGTGCTTGCTGGTGTTACAGGGATACGAGCTTTGCTTTTGAAAGAAAGAAAAAAAACCAATTGAAATTATAAACCTTAGTTTAAGAAATTTTGGATGAACAGTATTTGTTATAAATTTTTTGTTTTGTTTGTGCAGTTTCTGTCTTTTTCCTTTTGTGCGAGATTATGTTGTTTCGCGCTGTTTAATACCACGCTCCGATCATACGATGGCAGACATCTAAAAGCCAAACAAAGTGCATCAAAAGCACCTGACTTCCTGGAAAGTCAGTGACATGACTGACAACAGCGTCAAATGTAAGAACTCTTGAGTTTGCATGTTGAAAAAGGATTAATGCAATTCTAACTGCACATGTTACAGATCTCCTACAGTCCTAGCTTCCACTATGTTATTACGACGAAAAACGACAGGTCCTACTATGGAGGATGTCTCGCGCGTGAGTACGCTTGGTTTTTGACCTGAGGCAGGATCAAAGAATGAACGATATCATTTTTGAACTGTTATATCATAGTGACTCCAAGAAAAGCGAATTATGTAACAGAAATTTTATAGCGTTTCACGCGTTAACTCCACACTACTTCAACAACCAAGTTCCCATTGGATATGTCATATTTCGTTTATTTAAGATGGTAAAAACCCTTGGATCGTAACACCCGGCCGTTTTTCCACAGTAGAAGAAGGTTATTTAGTATCATCAACTGAGTTGATAATGTAAATTGGCCACTGTAAAGAGTTTAAAAACTGAAGTTTTGAGCGTTAGCCAATCGCTCTTACCCCCTTTATTCATTTGCCAATTGAGGAGAATCTTTTTCGTCTTCTTCTCAGATAGAATACAACCTTTTTCATTTTCAGCTGTTCTTGGCTGGCATTCCAGTTATCCTGCTCAATCTTGCAAGCACATACGGGAAATTGGAAGATCTAAAGGGAACGGGGAGTACTGGATCGACCTTGAACGGAATGGAAACCCTTTAAAGGTGTATTGTGATATGACAACTGATGGAGGTAAGTGGTGAAATAACATTTCGAATATAATTAAAATTTTTCTCCGTGAAGTTGAAGAAATAAATGTTCCTTGTGTAAATGAGGCACAAGTGATTATGATTTGTTTTTGTGTGAAAAAGAGTTAGTGAACCCTAAGTAACCAGTGCAATACTAAATCAGACTCAAATCAGGGGTTAGAAATATCATTTTATTTGTTAGGTATAAAAGATAAATAAAACAGATAAGTGCTTAGGAAGCAGATCATGGGTCCTTCAACTTTCGAAAAAAAAATAAAACAAGTCGTCGCCTTATTATCTCTTTTCCATGTATTAAAAAGGTTTAATTTGTCTTCGGTGTTGTCTAGAAATTACAAAAGGCCCACAAAAAAAATTAAAGAGGCTCAGATGATATCCTCAGTCGCCATGGTTGCCGTGACGATATGGTGTACTTGTAGAAGATTTTAATGGTATAACCACTGCGCGCTGGGAATACAATTTATATAGTTTTAGAAAAAGGAGGAATCCTGCCATTTTATCTACATCTTTTTAAAATATTTTCTTTCTTTTCTATCGCTAGGAGGTTGGCTTCTGATATATAACATTGTGATAAATAAGTCGTCTACCCCGACCAGTTTGGATGTTAAGAAGTCATACAGGGGAATCAATCGTTACTACAACAACAAGCTGGTTCTTTCACCTGACGGTATGCGAGAACTGAGAACAATCTTACCTTTCAATCAGCTGAGATTCCACTGCCGTAAACAGCAACCTGGACGAACTTTCCACGTCAAAACAGCCGCTAACGCCTCTAGTGAAGCTGTAGTCGCTTTTTTGGCGGTGATACCGACGTTTTTCCCAAAGCTTGTGGTTCATTTGAGAAACTTGAGGGAGACAACTCAGTCCTCGCGAGTAGATGCGTAGAATGGGGGATGAAAAAGGGCGCGTATCGTGTTTGAAAATGGGGACATGAAGGGCAGAAGGAGCTGTCTGTATACTCAGCATTCATTGTGGGTAGCTATCACTGGATCACTTGGCTAGGTTCTAACACATGGCAATGTGATAATACTTTGGAGAAAATTGCTGCATCTGGTGACTTCTGGAGAATCTATGTCCGTTGATAACTTTGCAACTTTGTCACTTCTGCATTCTAGAACATTTTCTATTTACTTTTGAGACGCTAGCATTCAAAACTACGATGTGAGAAGTTTACAACCTTGCCACATGGTAAATAGTACATTATCTTTCAAAATATTGTCGATTAAAGGAAGACTTCGTTACGTTAATTCAGAAGCAAGTTCTTAAAGTTGGCAATGTTCAGCGGGTACTGTATGTCAGACATTGCAATCTTCTGCGGGTATTGAAAGTTGGACATTACGATTTTCTGCAGGCACTAAAGACTGTAACTTGTAAATCTTTTGGGTAACTTTATTCAATATCTTGACGTACTCCATTGTATCAGCAAGTTCATTTGGCCTTAAAGTGCAAATCTCTGCTGTAGAGAGTCGTTCCGCTATCGAGTTTTGTCATCCAATCAAATTAAGAAGAAAAAATATGAATATTATCAACTCTTGGAGAATTGAAAAGGAACCCAGACTGAGAGGTAATGCTGTAGATTGATACATAAACTTAAACAAAGAACACTGGAATAAAATCCGTAAATAATTAAAAATAATGATTTGCTATCATCAGCAGTATTCAAAACACATCAGGCTGATAAGGCCGGGGAAATCAGTGAGAATATTTTAAAATAGATTCAGTTCCAATGTCATGACACAAAGCAAGGTTAAAAATTCCAACTGATTAAAATAATAAAGATACAATTTCCCGAATGTTTTCAAATTTTATTCATATCAATATTGAATTATTTATCACTGAAACTGAATAGTGATTGCGATGAGGAAAAATTTCCTTTTTACAGCTTTGACAACATCTGAGGATCTAAGGATCAACGGAATGAGGTTTGAACGACTGCGAATGTAATTGCGGATTGATAAATGAAGATAAGAGTAATCACACTCGTCTTCATGGAATGACGTTTGAGAGGAAACCAAAAGAAAATCAATTTTTTTAGTGTACTATGAAATATGGGAAAGGAAATGTATGTTATTATCACTAAGAGCAGGTGTTGGGAGTTATATTCATAGCCCCCTCGCCTGGCTAGTCTTGACGATGATTGTAAGAAAACAAAAATTACTATGAAATTGTTATGAGGGTTTAAGAAAAAACACAACACTGACAATTATGCACAAAAATATTTTAAAAAAAATTCCTGGTGGGAGATTGAATCTCTTTGTTTGCGTCAAGTGGTTGATGTCGATGAGAAACAAATTTTTTAAAAAGTTTTTTTCGGTTTCTTTCAGTTTCATTGTAGTTTACTTTGAGCTTATTTGCCCCTTGGGATTTAAACTATAAAACTATAATGCAGTACGTAAATTATTAGGAAGCTTTGTTTATTTTATCAATTGTGAGAAAACCAACTTAAAACAATACAAGGTTGCAGAAAGAATTCAAAAGGCAGAGTTCATACGCAAAATATAATCTCGTTCGGTGCAACCACCGCCCCTCTGTACAAACATTGAAATCTCTCTTTTGTAAAAGCTGCCGTTGAAAGAGTTTTGATTCAGTTAGGACAAGAGTTCAAGGGAAGCCTTTATCAGTCAATGGCTAATACAAGTCCGATTCAGTTGGCCTTTACAATTCTTATCATCTCCTGCCTGATTTTATCTGTGATGGCAAACTCTGACTTATGCGGACGCGTCTTCGAAACCCAAGTTGGTAAGTGAAAAAAAAGAAAACCCGTAGAAAATGAATTCCTTTTCTTTCGATTTGCATTTGTAAGACAATCATAAACAGAACAGTAGCGATATTCACCAGTTCCTAAGAGATTTTCATGTACTCATAACTTCTAGATCATATTCTTGTTGGTAATGTCATGGAAAAGAGTGTTGTTAAAAACGAATTTGAATGCCAGGAGAAATGTATTGAGAAGGAAAGCCGCTGTAAATCGTGTAACGTTTACCCGGAGGAAAACGATGTTATTTGTGAGCTGAACAACAAAACTCGACTGATGAAAGCAGCTGATTTTAAAAGGAAGAGAGGATCTACGTACTACGATTTGGTGCAGGTAAGTTCAGTTGTTTGCGTGAATTCCTTTAAATTACGTTTTCTTGGTTCATACTTAAATTCATTAATCGGCGATCTTGACAACTCCCGTTTCACGAAGTCGCGTTTTCGCTCTTTGATTACTGAAACTAAATATATTTTTGTATTTTTAGCTCTTTCAACAAAGTTCGAATGGCAAAATACGATGGGAAATATATATTTTTGTTTGTTTGTTTTTTTTTTTTTAACTTTTTCAACAAAGTTCGAATGACAAAATACGATTCCTTCGGGTTTAGTGCTTACCTTGTCATCGATATTTATTTCGAGCGAGGAAATGAATCGACGAATTATTTTTGCAGTTAAACAATGAAACTGGTTAGATGGAATTTCTTCTATATACTTTCCGTGCTTATCGATTTATCATTGGTGCTTATTGGAACTTAATTCCTGTCGTTGCAAAGTCCACTAAGAGTTAAGTTTGAACAAAGTTTATTGAAGTTCTCTGTCTCATTGCTTCCATCTATCTTCTGATTTTTAAAAAGAGTTTCTCAGTTATTTATGATCGGCAAGTTTACCAAAAAATACAATTCAATTGAAACTAAGAAGTAAAAATACTTCGGTTCCTGAGAAATGTGCAAAATTTCCTTTTCAAATAATTTAGTTGCTTTGAACTTGAAGGAGAAATGAATCGGAATTAACTGTTAGAATCTGCAACCGTGACTGCAATATTTGATTATTTGAACATAAAAACGCCATCAAAATACATAAAAACTTCGAAAAACTTGAAAAAAATTTTTAAAACTGTTCACCAAATATTTAGAGACGTTTAATAATTAGATTTGACCGGTATAATATGTTCCGAATCTTTTTCAACGTAGATTTCCTGCATTGAAGTTTTTCACGATGAGAAAGCAGCGAAAAACTCCGGCCATTGTCATCCAGGACGCAAAGGGAAAGGCTGCCTAACACGTGAGAAACACTCCATGTTTTCAACTTCCATAAGCCCTTACCATGCAAGTTTTTTATTGTACCTGCGAGTGAAAAAACAGAAACAGACAGAAACACATACACGGGTGTGTCGTGATTCACATCTCATTCGGTACAGCTACACCAAGAAGAAATTTACGTTTGACTGCATAAGTAAATGGTCCTAAATATCTCACATCCTCCATGTCTATATTACTCTGCTGACCAAGAACAGCCATCCGCGACCAAGATGGTCCATATGGATAAAAACATAGCCCAACTATTCTACAAAGCCAAATTATTTGGCAATTGACCCTGAACCATGACACTAAAAAATAAAACATATTTAAATTCGCAGCTGTACCTGGCTGGTCTTCCCGTCATCCTGCTCTGTCCTGCAAGCAGATTTTGGAAGCTGGAGACTCAAAAGGAGACGGGGAGTACTGGATCGACCCTGAGAAAAATGGAAGTTCTTTAAAAGTATTTTGTGACATGACAACTGATGGAGGTAAGCACTGCAAATAACTCTTTTCCGCAATTTTGACTGTGTATTGAACAGCAAGGCTGCAGAGGTAAACACTTGTGGTATTTAAACCTGAGAAGGAATAAAAAAAAAACCAAAACATACTGAAAAATGATTAAATACAGAAAAAACATTGAAAGAATGCTACAGACAAAAGAAGACAAACAAAAACGTCTGTTTTAGGGTAGGAGTTTAAGGCGTGGCCTGCATTTCAAGTGAAAGTTCCAAAAGGCTGGAACCAAACCAGCAGGATTTTTTTAAGACTCCTTCAGAGTAGCAGGAGCTGAAAAACAGCGAAAAACTCCAGTTTGTGGTTAAAGCATGGTTTCAATCTGGAGCCGTTGAGGTTATAACAAGCGAACAAAACCATTCTACTATCTTTTCTTCTTTAAATCGATAAGGCCGGTAGGTGGAGGGAGAGACCGTGCCTTTGCGCCGTGGCGCAAAGACATACCTAGAAGTAGCCCATTTTTTACTGTGAAAACAACAGTGAGTCGTGGAAGAGCTGTTTCCGGTCTCCGAAGAAACGCGGTTCACATTTTTTTTTTAATATTTGGCAGGAGGCTGGCTCCTAATCTATAACGTTATTGCTGGAGGAACTGTGCCCCCCACCAATTTGAATATTGAAGAGACATATGCAGGAGTCAGTCGCTACAGCAGCAACAGAATGGTTCTCTCTCCTGACGGTATGCGAGAGCTGAGATCCCGCATGTCTTTCACTCAGCTGAGATTCCACTGCCGTAAACGGCAACATGGACGAACGTTTCATGTCAAAACGGCTGCGAACAGCTCTGGTGAAGCTGTAGTCGGGTTTTTCGGCGGTGATACCGACGTTTTTCCCAAAGCCTGTGGCTCATTTGAGAAACTTAAGGGAGACAACTCAGTCCTTGCAAGTAAATGCGTTGAATGGGGGAAGGAAAACGGCGTGTTTCATGTTGGAAAATGGGGACATGAAGGGAATAAGGAGCTGTATATATACTCAGCATTCATTGCATATTACCATCATTGGGCCACGTGGCCAGGCCATGGCAGATGGGAATGTGATGACTATCGGAACAATTTGACGCGCGGCGACTTTTGGAAGATTTATGTCCGTTAATTAATGCAACGCTTTGCGACTCTTTAGTGGAAACCCCGTAACTGGCGTTGAAGGAGCAAACGAAGATACATTAAGATTAGAGCATCTCGAACTGTTAGCTTAAGATTTTTGCGCCTGTCGAAAATCCGTTCTTTATCCGTAATTGGTGACCTTCTCAAATCTAATGTACAAGTCATCTTCTGATGAACGAGTTAATTTTAAAGATCTTTGAATCAACTCATCATCTTAACAACTTGACAAAACAAAACTTTAATGTAATATCTTAGTAACAGCGTATCTGAAGGCAACCATCGGGCCTCTCTTGGGAATTGGTATTTTCTGCATATCTTAGACATTATTTCTCAACTTTTTTGTGTTATTATGGATAGGAAGAATCGCAATACACACCTGAAGCACGTCACTCAAGTTGTCAGGGGCGTGTACTTTATATGCGTGTACTTTATGTTGGTTTTGCCATTATAACAATAAGTCGGCATACTATAACACATTTTGTATCGATCATTGACCAATCAGGGTTGAAGCGTTTCATTGTTAGTATTAAATAACAATTTATCAGTCAAATTACCCTTCCATGCGAGTCCTGAAAAGATCATTCAATCTTTTTTTTATTGTAAATAGGTGTATTCCTACATGTCTCGTAGAAAATGTTGCTGTTCATCGCGGATTTTCAGATAAATTAAAGCCAAGAAGTACACAATGAAGTATTGAAAAAGCAAGAAACATTAGGTAGACATGAGTGGAAAGGAGCTGGAATTTAGAGCACTTGGTGCAGTTGCCATTTTCCGAAGTAAATTTAAGCTCAACAGATTGAAGTACTGTGTATAAAACTTTTTTAGCCTTGTGATCATGAAACCAACTATTCAGTTCATTCATAGTTATCTCCATCTAGAGGGATGAGTTTATCTTGTTGATATATATTTTCAACTTTGTTTGTTAATTTTTTCCTCTGAAAGCGGATCCTTAGACTTGGGAATAAACACGAAACTTAGCTGACAGTTTCCATTTTTGTTTTCATTTTTACTCACACATTATTATTATGGCATTGAAAGCGGAAGTTTAAATCAACAATAATGAACTATTTTTAGGACTTCCCCACATGCTAACGTATGGCGGGATTTGGATCAATTCAAAAATGAATTGTGTACTTTGATGCTTATTGTTTCTATCGTCACTACACTAGAACAATGGCTGTGAGGTAGGGTACCTTTGTCCAAGAGCACAAGATTCTCCCGACATTTTCTACTTCGAAATGCATGTTTTCACGGGTGTTTGAACCTACAACAAATAAGCCAATATATCATACATAATGATATATTGGATTATGGATTATATTGGTATGTCGTCAAGTTGAATTTTTAACGACTTATCAACTGAAAGGTCGCTCTAACATTTCCTCCAATCAGAAAGGCAGCTTTCAGATCTTCCCACTTGTCGCAAGTTCGGTCAATCTTGCTGCATTTCCCATCCGCAAGTTTTTAGCCTTTTGTTTCGTAATTGTTTACCAAAAAAGTGTACGTTTTCGTGAGCCACAACTTGGCTGGATTCCATGCCACCGGACAAGAGAAATGAAGTTTTGTTAATTTTTTAATTCAATTATAAAACGAACTTGATGGGTCTCTACTCCAAAAGCCAATTGGAATTGACATGATGGGTAAGGTTCACTTTGTGATTGACAACTGTTCTCTCATTAGCCAATCAAATACTTTGGACGATTCCAACCATTAAGGTTGCTTTCGAAATGTGAATATTTTGAGAAGTTTGCTAACTCCTTCAAAAAAGAAAAACAAACATAACTAGGATCGCAATTTTGTTTTATGAAAAAAAGAAAACAAACGCTTTTTCTAAAAAAGAGAGGAAAACAAGCCCTCAAAAGCACTAAAAAAGACTAAAAAAATTAACTGGAAAAGAGCGTGTTGTCATTGGTTGAAATAACGTGCTCTTCCAGAGTACAGAGCTGAGCTAAAGCTGTCACGCCATCTGCCAAATTGCATTATGTCCGACCATTTCTCGGACTTCTCACTTGCTTGTTTTCGTTAATTGAAAGTGAAATTTCGGAACAAACGAGCCGGCAAGTAGCAACCGAAGAACCAAACAAAGGTTTGTAAACATGCCAAACGCCGTCATTTACGTTATTACAACGCAAGCAGAGACAAAAATGAACAGACCGAGTTTTGAAGGTTTTCTTACTCAGTTAGATTGCAAGCCTATGTACGGTAATAAAAATCCATCCCAGTTAACACTCGTATAGTATATAAAGTTTCGCGTTAAAAAAAAAAAAACAGAACAAAACAGGAATGATGAAAAACATAGCCAGACTGGCACAACTGTTAAATTTCATACTAATCATGAAGGTGCCAGAGCGACTGCGATCATGCTGAGGTCCATCGCGGCTAGACCATCATGACGATCTCCGGTAATCGTAGTGAAGAAAGCCACAGAAATTACATCGCCCGCCCTTCGAGTAAACAACTAAGAGCTTGCTCTGATATCCTTTCCGATGCATTGAGTGGGTAGCCACAGCAGCCACAGCAGTCACAGCAGCCGAGTTTGACGGCGCTGTCATTCCAAGCAATCTTCATGTTGCTGTGAATTTGGCTATCGTTAATTCATAAAACACACGCCTTGAGCAGTTTGTTCTCTGATTGCTATGGAAAAAAGCTTACGTATTTTTATGAGCCACAACTTGGCCGGATTTTATTGAACATTTCAGTTTCAGTTTCTGCATTAGAGACTAACTTCAGACTAACAATAGAGAAAAACTTCAGGCAGAAGTGGTAAATTCGACCTGCCCAACTATTTGAGTTTGTAAACTATTGTAGATTGTGAACTTTGATGGTTGTGAACTGGGATGGTTTGACATTTTTGACAGCTTTAGTCTTGTCAACCAATCTGATTATTTGGACCATTATAACAAGGATTCCTATTGGCTTATTGTAGCGTGCTTTATGACAGCACCGAGCATGCTAACGACACTGTTGTTCGTTTTGGCAATAAATTTTGTTTTGAAAATTGAAATTAATGTGTGGGAAGGGAAGTTTTAAGGATTCTTTCTCTCTACTTTTGAAAATTGAAAGTAGTGTGTGGGAAATTTTAAGGAGTCTTTCTCCCTACTTTTGGAAATTGAAAATAACGTGTGGGGAATTTTAAGGATTCTTTCTCCCTACTTCTTTTTTGCTTCGGCCGCTGCGCGATCTACAACATAAGAGAGCACAGTCAAGGCTTCTCTATTTGTTAATTATGATTAAACAGATGCATTCCCGAGAAAAGCGTAAGAGTTGCTCGAGGCGAAGCCGAGAACAGTTTTAGTTCTTGAGAGCTAAATCAATTGTTATTGGCTTACAAGTAGGCGTTCACTTCGTAAACAGAACACCAGACAGTTAAAAATCTCGGGCAAACGTTTCTCCAAGCGAGTCTTAACTATCTTCATCATTTTGCAATTCCCGTTTTGCAACAACCTGCGAATCAAAAGGTTTCCTTCCTGCTTGTATAGAGTGTTCTGGGTGTTGTTAGGAGTGTGAGGGTAACGTCAAATGTCCTTTTTGAAAACGCACATTGAGCGTCTGAATACTGAAAACGAGAAAAAAAGCTTTGTTTACTCTGAAGAACGATCGAACGGGAAGCAAAAAGTTCACCTTTCTGTTTTACTAATCAGGCTCAGGCCTCCTGCATGGATGTTTCTTGCGGGCGAAAACAAACAACTAAAAGCGGCCAGTGTCATCCAGGATACAAAGGAAAACATTGTGAAACACGTAGGTGGTGAGACTGTTCTAGAAAAGTCTTTCTTTAGACGTTGTTAAACGAAATACATGACTATTAATTGCAATGAGGGTGGTGGAAATTTTCAATTGGGGACTCCTTTTAAAACCCATTTCTGAAGATAAATGCAGACAGTCATGTTCAAGTTTGCGCATAGCTTTATCCCCTTTTTCCAGCGTCTTAGCTGGTGTGTGAAGATTAATAAACCCATCAAGATCAAATCTCATTTCCTTTTCAGCTACCAGAGACTTATATTACAATCAGCCTGGTTATTCCCGTAAGGACATTCGAAATTATTTGGCAATTGACCCTGAACCATGACACTAAAAAATAAAACATATTTAAATTCGCAGCTATACCTGGCTGGTCTTCCCGTCATCCTGCTTTGTCGTGCAAGCACATTTTGGAAGCTGGGGACTCTCAAGGAGACGGGGAGTACTGGATCGACCCTGAGAAAAATGGAAGTTCCTTAAAAGTATTTTGTGACATGACAACTGATGGAGGTAAGCATTGTAAATAACTCGTTTATGCTATATTGGCTGTGTATAGAACAGAGGCTAACCTTCGTGGTGTTTGAACCTGAGGAAAACAAAAACATTGCAAAATGCCGGTGCACTACTGCCTAAGTAGTGCACATCACTGCGAGGATCACTTTCATTCATTTCTTTATCCGCAGTTCAAATATATGACTTTCATATATTCTTAACCGTATATTCATCACTTCACGAGTTTATTTAGAACCACCATCATGACCAGCTCCCAGTTGGCTTGTTAGCTCAGTTGGTAGAGCGCTGCACCGGTATCGCAGAGGTCATGGGTTCAAATCCCGTACAGGCCTGAAATTTTTTTCAGGCCTTATTTTCACTACTGCCTAAGTAGTGCACATCACTGCGAGGATCACTTTCATTCACGTCTTTATCCGCAGTTCAAATATATGACTTTCATATATTCTTAACCGTAGTTTCCATATATGTTTTCATTTTTACTCACACATTATTATTAAGGCATTGAAAGCGAAATTTTAAATCAACAATAATAAACTATTTTTAGGACTTTCCCATATGCTAACGTATGACGGGATTTGGATCAATTTAAAAGGAATCTTTTTTTGTAAAATTACGCACCTCCTTGGAGCGATTTATTTCTCGCCCCACTTTTTTGTTTTTGTTAAAATAAAAGATTGCAGGTAGGATGTTCACCGAGAAGACACTGAGCACTAGTTCCCAATATTTCTCGCCCCAGCTTTTTATTTCTGTGAAAATTAAAGATGGCAGATTGCACTCGTTCCCAATATTACGCCTGCTCTGTTGACTAGAGA